TCTTATGACTCGGGCAAACCTAGAGCTGTATGTTTATAGAAAGTAAATTCCAGACTCATTGTAAAATCATTCCAGTAGCCCTATTGTGCAGAAGTAGGTGAAGTAAAATCATTGCTTACAAGTTATGCAAAGGTTGATATACAGTATTTCCATATGAGCATGCCTCTAAATCGGTAAAACTGACCTTACTGAACATCAAACGAATTTTCCTTTGTACCCCCTTACTATCCAAGCCCTGCCCTGGATTTTCTATGCATTATTCCATCTCCTACCTCCATGGTATGTGTCATCCTCATATCTGCCTTAACCAGAGGTTTAACATCTGCAGACACTCCTAGAGGCATACGGTCTTTAAAGTGAAGCCTTGCTAGTGATGTTATTGATCAATTTTTCATCAACACACAGACCTGCTCAGAAATGTATATTTACTCTAAATCCTCCCATCTTTATTTTCTCTGCTGCTGCATTCACTCCCAAGCATCTCCTCTTCAGCCAATATCATTGAGCTAAATGGAGTTTATTTCCCCATGTCTTCTCAAAATAGAACAGCTTTTAAATGCATGATACTTGGATGAATTGAGACTGTATACATATCATATGAAATTCCTTGCACAATTAATATTATGCCATTAAAATCAACTCTCCTGATTTAAAGATTCAAAGAAAAATCAATATAACAAGGTCCTGTCTCAACATGCAAACAAGCAAACAGAGCTAAAGCAGAGAAATTGAAGCTAAGCTGTCACAGATGGAAAGCCCTCTTTGGAAGATAGCTCTTCTCTTTTCGATGACCATCTGGGGGGAAAATGACAATTTTTCTCTACAACACAAAATTGCTCTGTCTGCACAAGGATTTCCAAGCTATGTTCATCTTAGTATTCTTATTTTATATTTGAAGCAGTGATACTGAGTGCTTGTGTAGCATGTAAAAAAGCCACATAGTATTTGCTGCAAGAATGCTCTATATGTTATAGGGAAAAAAGAAAAATAAAGAAACCCAATCCAATGAAGCACCAATTGTAAAAATGCCAAACAGTAATTTGGTTTAATTCATGCTTCAAATGTAATAGCTTCCTAGTTCTTTAATATTCTGTTTCTCTGTTAGAAAATGAAAAACTAAGAAAATAGGATTATAAAACCATTTCTAAACATGAGGGTATTACTAAAATAGGTTAAAACAGATATGCATGCCTGGAAGACAAGCATAAGAAATAGAGTTGGATGGTGTCCAGCCTGTCAGCATCTGTGAATGATTCTAGTTTAGCTAAATCAAATCAGGCCACTATGTCCCGCACTACATCTACTGTCAATCCATGTAACAGAGAAGGCCATGCCAATTCAACACAAAACTAGGATAATGAATCTGGGTTACCTGTTGAAAAGCAGAATTATGTTAGTAATTTAAAATCAGTCATTTCAAGTGCATCCCACAGGCTTATCAGCACAGAATAGTGTAAAGGGAAGCTATTAGCCAGTCCTGGCTGCTACTGTTGTATCTTAAAATTAATAGATCACTACAACTAAAATTGAACTGACAGAGTGAAGGGAGAAGACAGCTCCTTGTTAAAGAGACTAGTTTAACATACAGTATAGACAGATGAAGATGGGGGTTACATTGTTTAATACTGAGTACTACATCAGAGGTCACTATGGAAAATTATTCTAAGTCCCTAGAGTTTGTTACTACTCTTACAGTTTGAGCATATATGTCAGCTTTCAATTTTAAAATGTTTTGTTATTTTGTTCTGATTGTATAAAATAAAGTACAGATATGAGAATGATTTAGTGTCATTGTAAATTTTTATTCTTTGAAGACTAAATAAAAGACTATACCATCAGTGGTGAGCAACCTGTGGCCCACAGCCCGTCAGGGTAATGTGCTGCCGGGCTGCGAGACTGTTTGTTTACATTGACCGTCCACAGGCACAGCCCCCGCAGGACGTGCAGGCTGCCACTTCCCACAGCTCCGATTGGCCGGGATCGGTGAGCCGTGGCCACTGGGAGCTGCAGGCAGCTGTGCCTGTGGACAGTCAGTGTAAACAAACTGTCTCACGGCCTGCCAGCGGATTACCCTGATGGGCTGCGCACAGCCCATGGGCTGCAGGTTGCCCACCAGTACAGCTGTATGAAATATATTGAAATAGAGTTTGGCAACATCAGATAAAGTACATAATGATGATAAAACGGATGCTATATGGATAGAAACATCAGTTGTAGCAAAGATAATCCTTTTACTGAGCACACTCATTGTGCAAGAAGCTAATCCCATTTAGTAATACAGTATATTAGGCAAAAGAGAAATTAAATAGAAAGGGCTGGCTGACATCATTATACAGGCAAATTCCCGTCAACTTCGATAGAAGAAACTGAGTAAGGACTTTGGGATCCAACTCTATAAATATAACAAGAATATACTTGTTCTGTGTCCAGCATTTTCACAAATGGTATTAACTTAAGAGAAATCAGTACAACATAACAAAAATAAAGCTATATAAGCAAATACAAGAATAAAGGAAACTATTGCGCCATTTATTTATCATGACACAGCCACTGCATTACCTTTTAAACGGATGCTATCAACTTAAAATTTAGGCAATTTTTTAAAATGAGTTCAAATTAGTTTCAGGTACTACACCTGTCCCTGAATCCCCTTGTCAAAGTTTGTGGATTTATAGTCAGATTCTTCTCTTTAGGGGAAAAAAGATTCTCTCTCCTTTATTGCTGTGAGAAAGACACAGAATAAGGAAACTGAGTACCTAGGGGGGAAAGTGAATTTGTTTATAAACAAATTACTGTCAAATGCACAGGAAAAAATGAAGGAAAATTTTCTCAATCTTCTCTCTCCTAGTTCGAGTAATCTTAGGTGTTCTAATCCAAGCATAGAACCTAATTATAACAAGTGAGTTCTTTGGGGGGCAGGGATTGTGTCTTTGTATGTGTCAGTACAGTAGCTAGCCCTCTGGGGCCCTGCTCCTGTCTGGATCCTTTGGGGCATACTGCTCTGTAAATATTCAAAACTAATGGTAAAAATCGGTGAAGGTTTTAGAAGGTGTGATTTTTGAGTTGATAGTGTCCCTTTAAGATGGTACTACATGCGCTTTCTTCCATAGCCAGCCGCCAGTGCAGAAAGACTGGGATAGTGCCAAGGCCCCACCTCCTACCCATCGTCTCTAGTATGATTAGGGTTCCTATCAGTGCAAAGCCTTCCACAATGCTTGCATACCCCTGTGCACAAGGACTGTGTTGTCCCTAGCTCCTGTATGTGAATTCTTCCAATGCTTGTTCACCTGTGTAGGGACTAGCCATCATCTAGCCCTAAAGGATTGTTGTTGTAGCAAGAAAAAGATTATAGTTAGCTTGTGCTGTTTAATAAATAATCAGTGACATTTACCCTTAAAACACGTGCAGTGATGAAAAACTACACAATGTTTATCTGTCAAAAAGATAACAAAATAATTTTCATGATAATGGGAGTGCTAATAAACCACCACATCGAGGTCTCTCCCCCCACCTCTCTGGGAAATTATAGTCTCCTAAGTGAATTTTGATAGTAATGTGTTGCTTATTCTAGCTTGTGCTCTTCATGTAATTGCTTTTCTCATTAAAATAAACACATATACCACATTTGTTGTAGGATCTACTTCTGTTGCATTTTCATTTACTCATACATATAAATTCATATTCTGTATCTACTCAACTGTACTGCTCACTGTGTTTTCTTCAGCACATACCACCTAGGCTGAGAAAAGCAATTGTTCCTAGGATAGCCCCTTTCTGTCAAATTAAGATCCATCAAATGCCTGCCATGATGCTACTGTAGTAGTTTGTTCAATGCATACACTGCAATTATTATACATACAGTACTTAACTGGAAAACTAATAAAAAGTAAGCTATTATATATTCAATAGTACATTTAAAGATTCTCTTTCTAATAAATGACTTCATTTTCACAATGCCAATTAGCCATATGAAATCAATGGGTACATCACATTTTATATTCAAAGACATTAAACTAGAATACTCATATTACAGCTGATTAAATGTTCACTTCAGGGCCAGCCTATGAAACATTAAGGTTACAGATGCACTTGATCAAAAGAGATATTACAGGTGTAAAAGCCAAAGAGAATAGTTTCAGATTCCTGATTATTATGGGGTTTAAAATGTGCACAGCACATTCAAACAAATCAAGTGACCAGCTTTCCCAAGAACAAACGACACTTTTCAGCTCAATACAAACTTTATTTTCTTCTGAAGCGTTTGACTTTTGGTTTTGATATATGTCTCTAGAAGGCTAAATTGGGATGTACTGTAGTAGTGGTACTTCAGGTACGGAAGCAAATATCTGAGTTTCATACCCATCCATCATGTACTATATAGTATAATTATTATTTAGGTAAGTATCTTTAAAACTCCTTATGAAAACAAAGCGTAACACTTGGTTTAAGAACAAAGGATTAGCAGAAAATTACAGTCAGGAAATCTGCATTATCAATTAGCCATAGGCTGACCACTGACCATTATGTACAGCTTTAAAAAGCCATGATAATATTTGTTCACTCACACAGGATCAATGTAACGGTTCGTTCTCTGTGGTACTCTACCCATAGGTGTCCCTGGGGACTAACCAACATCATATAATTAATATCTGCTTCGAAGACTTCTCACAATATACACACACATACACCCTTAAATTGATTTTTTCCTTCCCTAGAAGTTCATATAGTTATTTTTTCCTAACAAATGGTGAATTGGAGCAGAAACTGAATCAATCATCTCTTATTCCAACCTCACATTGTTAGATGTCTCTCGGACCTCTCTACTTCTGCTAAACATACCATATACGTAAAGACAGAGTTTTGCTATCTTTATGCACTAAGATAACAGGAAAAATAATTCAAAGCAAAGTTTCTGGATTCACTCCAGTAACAAAATCTGAAACATTCTGAATAAAGGATGAAAATAAGTGTTTTATATTAAAATGACCATTTTACAATACCTTAAGAAGTCTGACAGATGGGAGAAAAGCAGCATGGCATAGCTTCCGAATGGTCCAGTTTAGTGGTCGGGGAGCATCAGTTTGACTCATGACCCTCTAAAAATTCCACTTGAAAGTGAACTGCAAACCTTATAATGCCTACAAAACAAATGGTCCTCCACAGTTTTGACATCCCACGTTCATCATTTCCACACCTGCAATTCCGTAGGACAGATGCTTCCTGGAACTTGGTTGGAAGGCTGGCAAAGTGGATTTGCCTTAGCCACTGATCCTCCTTAAGAAAGCAACCTCCTGTCTTGGAGCAGTAGTGCTCATGCATACCAAATGTGGCTGAATGGAAGCAATCAGCCTGCTGCTCAGAGGAGGGCTGCACGGTTTTAAAGGAAAGGGAAAGCCTGCATGAATAAAACCCTGCAGTAAGAGCTGCTTGCTCGCTTTCTCACACTGTTCAGAGTATAGGCAGGTTAGACATTAAGGGAATCCGAGCCATTTGCTTTTCCTCAGATTTTTTTTCTTTCTTTCCTTTTTTTTTTGTGGGAGAGAAGGCAGAATGGAATGAAAGAATATAAATAAAGCAAGAGACAGGGTACTTCCACTTTCTTTCACAAAGCATTTTGAGGAGAGATAAACCAGAATGAGGGGAGGGGCCGACATTCAGATAGAAGAGAGATGGCTCTGCCTGATCAGACAAAAACTATATCTTCCTTGATTTATCTGGCATAATGAATTGAGAGAGATTGTGAAACGGATCAATTTTATTGCTCTGTCATATTGCAGAAAATCATCAGCAAATGAGTGGGGTTATGTCCTGATATAATGCACTTTTTAAAAATTAAGGGTCTGTTGAGAGATAACTCCTCTGAGGAAAATACTTAAGGGCACAGGTAGGCAGACTACAGGCCAAATCCAGACCACCAGACACTTTTGAACAGACCCCCAAAATTGTTTTACCTATTATCATCATTTTTTATTATTTCTTCTGGAGTCTGTATTTTGAGTATACCTTGACCAATAAATTTGGATCTTGACAAAAAATAATTGATTACCCAGAAGGGTATTTTGCTTTTACTTTATAATTTACAGATACAAGAGATGTATAATGCTGGAACGCTTATAGTAAGATAGAATCCCATTTAAGATAATTAATGGCTTGCCCAGTTAATAACACTTAAAATGTGCTTTAGCTTTTGCAATACAGAAGGTGAAGTACCCTTGATTTTATTTTATTTTAACAAAGGTTACACTGGTGACTAGTTAAAATGATAAAGGTTTACAGCAATTTGGGCTCTGGTAGTTGGAATTTTCCAGTGTGACAGGAATAACTAGTTACTTTTAATCAGAATATGGAAGGGGATAATCAACTCCTTTTTTAACAGCAACATCTTCACTCTCTTCTCTCCTAAGGCTCGCAGTAGATCATATTTATTCAATTTGGGGACATGTGACAAACTTAAGGCATTTTCATGTTCCATTTTACACAGGTAGCTCTCCTTATTAAAGACACTGTTTCTCTATTCATAATTATCTAAAACTATCATTCCCATATTCCACAGTTAAGCTGACAGTCTCCAAAAGAGAGAAACAAGAAAAAGGAACACAAATATTGCAATGACCCCTTAAGGATTTGGCACAGTTCAATTAACATTGTTTTTGTGAGGCTATGCTAATAGTCACCTTTTATAGCTCTCTATTTTGTACATATCTATATGTCTATAATGGTTTACAATGAGTTCCTGAGAGTCACACTAATAAGAGCAAACCAATATTTGTGGTCGCAAATCAGTCTTAAATGGATAAGCCTTTGAGCGAGTTGAAAACTCAGGACCTGATCCAAAGCCAGTTGAAGACAATGGGACTCTTTTCACTGAGTTCCATGGTATTTGAATCAGACTCCCAATGAGCATCCTCTGAATTATCCTCTCTAAGACATGATGCAAGGATAGAGTTTACCCCACCCTCCCGCTTTTGTGGGGCATGGATGGCCCTCGTTCCTGTGTATGTCTCAAGATCCCTCAGTAAAGCCTACAAATCTGGGGACATCTGTAGAAAACTGGTGGCCTGATGCAGAAGCCAAGTACCTCTGTGCTCCTTCCTGACCCCCTCCCCAACCCTTCAGATTGGTTGGGCTCCCTGAGGAACTGAACCCTGGTTGGTTTTCTAACTGTTTACCAACCAAAAACTCACATTCAGGGGGAAGTTGAGAGCAGATTCTGAAATAAGACAAGGCTTGTGGAAGAATTATTCAGCAGAACAGCTCTGCCCAAATATCACCTGTAATCCTAAAACTGCAGAGTTCTAAACATGCAGAGATTGAGGAGTTATCAAGATAAAGGACCTGAAGCTCAAACGTCCTTCCTCCTAACTAAATTTGGCCCAAAGTATCTGACTTTTGCTTTTTTTTACCCCCTCCACAGAGGGAAAAGGAAAAGGGGTGTGATCAAGCCCCCTTTGCCCATGTTGCACAGGTTTCAATGTCACACACTTTACTTTTTCAGTTGAACAATAAACATAACATATAAAAGTAGTAAACATCTACCATTGATGAGTTACAGTGTGACTCCAATAACATTTCCTGACACTCTTATAAGGGCTTGTCATAAATATAAAGGGAAGGGTAAACACCTTTAAATCCCTCCTGGCCAGAGGAAAAACCCTTTCACCTGCAAAGGGTTAAGAAGCTAAGACAACCCTGCTGGCACCTGACCAAAATGACCAATGAGGAGACAAGATACTTTAAAAGCTGGGGGGGGACGGGGGACAAAGGGTTCTCTCTGTCTGTGTGTGTTGTTTTTGCCGGGACCAGAGCAGGAATGCAGGTCAGAACTCCTGTAAAAAGTCAGTAAGCAATCTAGTAAGATGTGCGTTAGATTCTGTTTTGTTTAAATGGCTGATAAAATAAGCTATGCTGAATGGAATGTATATTCCTGTTTGTCTGTCTTTTTGTAACTTAAGGTTTTGCCTAGAGGGATTCTCTTTGTTTTGAATCTGATTACCCTGTTAGGTATTTACCATCCTGATTTTACAGAGGTGATTCTTTTACTTTTTTCTTCAATTAAAATTCTTCTTTTAAGAATCTGATTGCTTTTTCATTGTTCTTAAGATCCAAGGATTTGGGTCTGTGTTCACCTGTGCAAATTGGTGAGGATTTTTATCAAGCCTTCCCCAGGAAAGGGGGTGTAGGGCTTGGGGGAAAGACTTTCCAAGTGGGCTCTTTCCCTGTTATTTTTGTTAGACGCTTGGTGGTGGCAGCAATAAGGTCCAGAGACAAAAGGTAAAGTAGTTTGTGCCTTGGGGAAGTTTTAACCTAAGCTGGTAAAAATAAGCTTAGGGGGGTCTTCATGCAGGTCCCCACATCTGTACCCTAGAGTTCAGAGTGGGGAAGGAACCTTGACAGGGCTCATTAAAAGAGGCAAAGGGGAAACCAGGCAGATAGAACATATCTAAATCTTGACATTAAATACCATAGTACTTAAAAGGAGCACAGCATGATCATTTTGGCTGGGTTAGGAAAGTAGGAGTAGATGAGTGCTGTCAAATGGTTAAACTGAGGGACGAGGAGTTTGCCATGGAAAGAAAGCAGAAAAACTGCAGCCTTGAATAACCCACCTTTTTCTCCAAAAGGCTGCAGGAAGGCTCATTGGTAAGACACATACCCCATCACCACCGTAAACCCTCCCAACATCTGCTTATTCATTGGGCACCTGCTGAAAAAGAAAGTGGACAGATTGCACTAGAGATAGGGAAACTGGAAAATGGTAGAACTCTGCCTTTCTTGTCACTGTGTAAGAAAGTAGGATAACAAACCTCTAAAAAGGTTAGGGAGCAGAAGACACTATAAAAATATAACAGATTGTTTTAATAAACTAAAAATAGTAAGTCCAATGCATCTTAGCTTCCACTGCATTTTAAATGCTTGAGATAGAGCTCTGTAAATGCCCCTCTGCTACACACAGTGGCTTAGAAGCCATCGCTTTTATATAGTGCAGTGTTTAGTATGCATCCATTTGTTTTCATGGGCCTGCTTCTTCACTGCCTGGCCTCTTGACTAGTCATTTAGACCTGTAGAAAGAGGGTGTGTGTGTGTGTGTGTGTGTGTGTGTGTGTAAAAAATACTACCTACTAACTTCCAGATAGGGTAGAAAGGATGGTGTAGTGAATAGAGCATGGGAATAGAACTCAAAAGATCTAGAGTCAGCTCCCAGTTCTGTGTCACCTTGAGCAAATCACTTAAATCTGCTCTATGGCTCAGTTCCCCAACTGCAACATGGGGATAGGACTTCCCCTATCTCACACATGAGGATAAATAGATTAGTGACTGTAAGGCACCCAGATATAACACTGATGAGGGGCATACAAATACACCGATAGTTGCTACCAATCAGAATAGTAACTAACTCACACTTTGAATAGCTGTAAGTAATCTAAGAGAGTGGCAGTGAAGATTCAAGCTCCAAAGGCATGATTTTCAGAGGTGTTGAGAAGAGCTGGTCGAAAAATGGGACACCATTTTCATGAAAGTTCTCATGAATTTTAATCCATTTTTTGGTCAAAACTGTAATGAAAAATTGTCAAATTGAAGATTTTCAACCAGCGGTACTGCTGCGCACCTGCAGCTGTCATTGAATTCTGTTGCAACGGTCGGTGATCAGCTCTTTTGAAAACCAGGCTCCTTGTCTCTACGTCAGAAGATTAAGGAGGTGCAAGAATCATGTCAGACTTTATCCTCCTATTAAATGCTGTTATAACATAGCAGCACTAAATGTTAGCGTTGCCATTGTTCAGATTAAAGTGTTCCCCCTTTCCGACACAGTTACTGCACTACCATTACAGTGAGACCTATTACTTTGTCAAGTGCCAAACAAAAATCATAACAATTTAAGGCAAGTTCCGTTGCTGCCAGCTGACAAGAAAGATTGCCATGGTACCTAAAGAAAGTATTTTTAAAAGCTCTTCTTGCCAATTTCCATAATCTCACATAACAATCCTGTGTTCATAAACATCTACCATAGCCCATATCCCTACGTACAATACATGAAAGCAGCACATATAAGAATACTAAAAAAATGAAAGAATGGTTGACATTCCATAAAATCCAAACTAGTTACAGTATATTGGTTGTGCCCAACCATTTTAGCCTGGGGGCAAATATATAACAACAAGATCAAAGGGCTGCTGCTAACAAATATTTAAGAGCAAACTGTCCTGTTTCTTGTTCTCTTGGCATCACTCAGTCAGCACAAAGGGAATGGAAGCCAGTAGCATGCCCCCTCCTCAAGATTACCCTATTATTTTTTTGCACTTAGGGAGTGTCTAGTCAGTACTGTCACAGATCTGGACCCCACTGTGCTAGGCTCTGTACAAACAGAACAAAGACTGTCTCTACCCTAAAGAGTTTACAATCCAAGTACAAGATGAGAGACAACAGGTGGATGCAGACAGACAGGAGAGCAAAAGGAAACATGACAGTACTGGTCAGCATGACAGGCAGCAGTCT